TAAACACACGAGGTTCCTAATTATGATGTAAGGATACACATTTGTATCTAATTAGGACTTAGATTGATTGTTGGATAGGGACAAATGCTTAAAGTCGCGATAACACTCCGATACAAGTGTTTGGAGGGACCCGGGTGGTGTTTAGGGACATGAATGATGCAAGGGACTTAGGAAATGAGTTGGGACTTCAAAGGAACACCCCCTTTAGGGAGTTTACGGACAAAACACCCATTCCCCATGAGTTTACGGCCGTAAACTCATGATGGGTGGTTTACGGTGCAATTTCGACTTCCAACACTAAGGGGATAATTTCTAGACTTGGTTTAAGGACTTGAAATGATTTCAAAACATCAAATAGACCCCCTTATGGGAGTTTACGGCCTAGCATGGCTCCATGGCCGTAAACTCCTATTTTTCCAAGAAAATGATGTTAAATGGTTCCAAAACAAATCACATGTGATTAATAGAATTATTCCAAGGCCTAACATGAGTTTGCATGGGACTTTTGAGGGGTTTATGGTGTTTACGGACCATGAGACCCCTTCATGGCTGTAAACTCTTCTATAGAGTGCTACAAGGAGTTTCAAGGCCTAAAACTTGCATGGAAGGACTTCTAAAATTCATCTAAGGGCCTTAGGGGTGTTTGGTTTGCATTCTAACACCATAAATCATGGAGTTTATGGCCCAAGCACATGCCTTGGCCGTAAACTCACATAAGTCCCCCAAAAATTATGTTTCAAGTGTCCAATTGCTAAAGCCAATGTTCTATAATTCATATCTAAGCCATACTAGTGATTTGGAATGGTTTAAGGGCATGAAAACCCTAATTATATGAGTTTACGGCCCAAGAATGATCCTTGGCCGTAAACTCCTTTAAACATCACAAAATTCATGTTTTAATTGTTTAAAGTCCATATCTTGAAGTCCCTTGGCCATATCTAAAGTCCAAATGAGCTTAGGAAGGAGTTTAAGGGCTTAAAACCCTTCAAAATGGTGTTTACGGCCTAGGCAACCTCCTGGGCCGTAAACTCCAATATGTTGTCCCATTTCATGATTAAATGTCGAATTTGGAAGCCAAATATGCTATAGATTAAGGCTAGGAAGGTACCTTAAGGATTTGAGACCTTAAATTTGAGTTTTCGACCCTTAATCTTTGGATTTTGGAGAGAGGTTAGAGAGAGAGTAGTGAGAGAAGGAAAAGCTTCAAATGAAAGCTAAAACACGTTTATATAGTTCCTAAAACTTGTACGCAGTGGAATTCTACCCGATACCGACGTTAAACGCGGCTTTTGGTCGCACCCGATTGAGTTTCCGTCACCCGACGAGGATATTTCTAAAACTTATGAAATAAATGTTTTGGGCTAAATTCATGAGTTCCTAAATGATTTGGACCCTAAATGAATGATAATAAACATATAATTTTTGTTAACTAAGCCCAAAAACAATATCGGGACATTTTGATCTCCGACGAGTTTTACGGGTAGAATGGGTTTTCGGCGATGAACAACTTCGAGTTGTTACACCTTCAATTCTCGCTTAGGTTGTGCCACCTAATAATCTTTTAATCTTTAATTCGAGTTTTGGAACATATACTGTTGTGTCGAATCTTAGAAAAATCATAAGCTCCTCATACGAAGTCAGATTTGGATGTTCTTGGTTTAACGAATTCTATGACTTTTATTTTAATTTTTAAGGCTAAAAAGCATTCGATTGTAAACTCACTTTTTATAACACACACTGGTGTGTCGGTTTTGTCGCGGATCTTCGATTGGCAATAACTTCTTTATTATAACTCGGATTTCAGTGTTCCTGATATTTTCAGAAACCTTGTTACGATATCTACTATTTTAGTGATACAAATCAAGATTATTTTACATTTTATTTTTGATATGAAACAATGGGCTGTTACATTATTCTTTTGATGGGTTAGGCGACCGTGCTTTGTGCTGAAGGTCAAGATACACGGGCTGTCCAGTTGATTCTGTAGGCACAAGGGAGTAGTTCAACTTATTTTTTAGGCTCAGGGATAGTCCAACTTATAGCTGAAGGATCACTGGCTGTCCAGCCTAATGTTGTAGGCCTAGTTACGTGCATTGTATTAAGATGTTGTGTAAGGTACCTTAGGGCTACTCACTAAGCTCTGGCTTATAATTTGATGTTTTGGTTTCAGGCACTTTAGAGGACATGGGCAAGGCGAATGCTTCATTAAGCACATCATTCTGGATTTTGTATTACTTATGATTTTGTGATACTCTGACTCATGTTGTGGTCTTGAGAAACTGTGTTTTATGTAACTTTGGGATTTAGGAATAGTTTAAAATTTGAAATTTTTTTGTCATGATTTTGGAAGTTAAAAGATGGTATCAGAGCCCGGGTTTGAGAGAATTAGATGAACACTTATGTGATTCCAAACTCAAACTTAGGATCTACAAAAATGTTTTCAAAATTTTAAGATAAATAACCAATAGAAAGGATGTGACGTGTAAAATTAATCGGACTCAAGGAAAGTGATTCTACAAGATACCCGCATTTTTTTAAGTATTGATAGAAATGTAGGTTGGTATGTACGATAAGGATCTTCATGAATTTCATAATATATTTGTATAATATATAGATGTGTAATATATGATGCCTGGTAGCCTAGGAAATTTCTTGTTATGCTATATGGAACTGACATTATTTGTGTAGTTGCTTAGTACGTGCATCATAGTTTTACATAACTAAAAATTTATAGTATGGTAATGTTTGATTTATCCTTAATTCCTATTCCTTTTCTACTTGTGTGCTTAGGGTAGAATCAAGTATTCAATTGTCTATTGAATTCAGTGTTATGTATAATTAGCATACACGAGCGGCTGCAGGGTCAGTGGAAGTTTCATAATTGAGCATAGGTTGTGAAAGGCCAGCTTGGGGAATGATTAGTCACTCTTAAGAGAGTGAGTATAAGATGTATGTGCATCATAGATGGATGGTTTGTGGTGATCTTCGAGACAAATACGCATAGGTGTGCAAGGTAGTATGGGTTTATACTACTAGAAGCATAGGACATGTAGGTGTATCAAGGTTGCCACAAACCCCTGAGAGTTAAAACATTTTGATATGTAATGGTAGTTTGAATTTTGATTTTTTTCTAACATTGGATTGGTTTATTTTCATTATGTCGATCACTAGAGGATGTAGATCATGATTTGGCGGCCACTACTAGAAAAAAGGCATTTTACGACGCTCATTGCACGTCGTAAAACGCTCAGACGACGCACAAATGCGCGTCAAGGAAGGCCTTGTCATAAAGAGAGATGATGCGCTTTAGCGCGTCGTCTATAGACGACGCGCGGTTATGACACACAATGCGTATCAAGAAAGGCCCTGTCATAAAGGAAGACGACACGCATTTGCGTGTCGTAACTTTACGACGCGCGTGTTTATGACACGCAATGCGTATCAAGGAAGCACCAGTCAAGAAAGGCCATGCCATAAATGAAGACGACACACATTTTTGCGTATCGTAATTTTAATTTATTTTTTTTTAAAAAATATATTTATATATTTATTAATTTATAAATTAAATTTGCATTTAATCTCTCATAATAGAAATAAAATACCATATACAAAAAATACAATCCATTGCATAATATAAAATAAAATACCATATACAAAAAATACAATCCATTGCATTCAATTTGTATGTATAACAAAGAGACATGTGTTAAACTTGTTACCATTAACATCTAATCGTATGGACTTGGGTGTTAAACTTGTTACCATTAATATTTGATTCATAAGTCCTTTCAACAAGATTGTTACCTGCATAAATGAAAACAAATAGGAACATTAACAGCCCAGCATGCTCAAGCCTCATCAATACAACAAAGTAGACAAAAGTAATGTAATAAGCCAAACATTAAAACCAAACATTAATATAAGAGATGGGAAATCTTTTACCTGAATATAACTAGCACCAAACAAACCACCATTTCCATGCTGGAATTGAGTCCGATGCAATGTGACTAAAAAAACACAAATCACTCTCAAATTTCACTTACCCCTTTCACTTTCACATAACACCAACCAACCTACTTATAAGTTGCTAATTATCTAGGCTATTTTTCTTTTTCTTTTGATCAAAATAACATGTTTATGCCCAAGTCAATTACAGAATTGTATTTCTTAGTATCATGTGGACACAACATTTTACCGAATGTGAATTGAATATGACAAACAAGCATTTATATTCTCATGAAATCAAAGATAATTTATAATATTTTTCTAAATAATTAACAAACTTGATGTGTCAAGACCCATAAGGATAATTTCTGCAACATTATATTCTAACAAACCCTACTTTAATCACAACATTAAACCAAAATCGACCAAAAACACACATAAACAATCAAATCAAATATAAACACAGGCTTGATTTAATATTCAAACAGATTAAGAAAGGCAGCAAACACTGTTTGTGATTTAGAAACTAATAGCTTAATCCTCAATTCATATTAGCATAGTAACAAATGTGCACTTATATCGTTTTTTCCTTTTGAACATTCACTTTCCAATAGATGCTAAAAACGCTGATACATTCTTAGTGGGTGCAACCTAAACAAAACTGTCACCATACACAATAGATGCTGAAAAAATTGAATAATTTATCTTTTGCTGCAACTTGATCATACAAAGCTAGACACACTTTTATATGGTTCAAACATAAACCTATTGTGTAATGAGGATCCAAATGGAATAATTCAGCCACCCCATACTCCTTTGTTCTATCTCGCCTCTATAATTTATTTCACCGTTCAAGAGAAGGGTATACGGGGTTTCATAGACATTATGAATTAATTTATCCTTTATTCTACTTCCCTTATTTGAAACAATCTCATCATAAAACGTTCAACATTTCAACATATTATACGACCTAATGCACTAAAATTCAAGTGATGTAAAACAATAAAAGTTGCTTTGAAAGTTCATAAATAAATAAAAAAAATTACCTTTTCAAATTATGCATAAACTTCTGTAGGAGCTATGGTCATCAAAGTTGACAAAGCAAGTACTGTAGCTTCTTGTTCCAAATGACTAGTACTCATCAACCCCATTGGTCCAGGAAAACCCTACATATTATACCACAACCAAGGGTTAATAATAATTAATAATATATAAAAGATAAGATAAAAAGTAATCAGTAAAAAAATATCAACACTCGGAATCAATGATTCCACAGGTAAAAAAAACTTACATTGGAATTAAAACGCTGCAAAGGGCTTCTGGAATCAGCTCTACCATGGGAATAGGGTGATGATGTTGATGCTTTCTCATTTCCTCCTCCTTCAGGGCTTCTGCTTCTAGAAGGTGACCTACTCCTACGTGGAGGAGACCTGCTTCTGTGTAAACCATCAGTTTATTGACACATCACATGATAAGGGCATTCTAGTCTTTTCAACACTAGTACTTCTATGTAAGTAACAAACACATATAGAATAGTGAATAGTCCATCATGTTTCTAATGAAACATCAACTTTAAATAGACAAACAAAACTTTTTACGGATGCTATTTTTAATGATAAGGGCATTTACATCTTTTACCTTATAGGAGACCTACTTGGGCTTCTCTCATCATCATATCTACCCCTCCTGTTTCTTCTATGATACTCAGGGCTCCTACTCCTACTGCATGAGGGTCCTACTTCTGTAATGATCTTTGTCCCTTCCATAATACCTTTCCCTGCTACTGCTGCGACTTATCCTCCTCCAGCCCTTGTATTCATCTCTATACTTGGAACTACAATGGGTAAACATCAACTCCAATACAAGGGTAGAATGGTCAAAACTACATTTTCATCATACCTTGGTCTAGGACTTCGGCTCCTTAATCCACCCTTCAGCTTTTCTACTGGTTCAAGTATCCTTCCCTTGTGACTAAAACAAGAATAAAAACAACCACATTAGTCAAACAACCATATAATTTTTCATATCTGATTCTTGGAATTTAGAAATATATTAGATTATATGTGAATGTGATTCACATTTTTTCAGCATTAGGCCCATATTTGGCAAATTAAACCATCATCTCTCTTCCATCAACAACTCTTCCTGAAAGGTGTAGAACAAAAGTGAAATCATGGTGAAGTGATGATATTGGATAAGTGTTATAGCTATTATATATTATCAAAAGTGATAAAGAAGAATCAGATCTGGAAGTCCAAACACCTAACATGGAATCGACGGATTAAGGAAGAAATCAAGCGTCGGTGACTTTTCTCCGGATAAAAACAATTTCCTGCCAATTTCACAAATCGGCATTCCAAAACCAAAATTCTCGATCCCAATCGCGTTTCTGTGCAATCCAATTTGCCAATTTCACGTTTCAGGTATCGATTTAATGAATTGGTGGGATCGCAAGCATGACGTACCGGAGGGCGTTTCTATCGGCGATCGGTACGCAATCGTACCCCGTTTGGGATCGAGCCGTTTGGAACGTGGATCGTGACTACTTTGGCGAATCCTGTGACTATGGATTGAACCATGCACACCATTGATTTCTATTCAACGAATCTCCAACGAACAAAAGCCTCTTGTTCTTCGATTTCTCCACCAACAATTTCCCTATAAACCTTCATTTCATTTCCCCCAAAACACACAATTAAAATCATCAAGAATTCAACAATTAATTCGATTTTAAAAAGTGGAAGAACAGAGTATGCTTACTTTGGCAAATTACAGTCTTTAGGCTGCCACCTCCACTTCTGATATGAAGTCGTTGGTTGCTTTACAGAGAGATATGAAGTCTAGACGAAAAGACGAGATTGACCCATCTGGTAATAAACGGACTCGGGAAGCTGAACAAAATGACCCGAGATTGACCCATCTAGTAACAACGCTATTGATGCCATTCCTTCCATTTTCGACTGTTCATCCTCTACTTCCTCTATTGCTACTTCTTCACCATCTTCTATCTTTTTCTGTATTTAGACTTGAGAGTATAATTAGGGCTTTTTCTAACAATTTCAACATCGAGTGGGAGATATGGTGGTTCCAGTAGGTAGAAGTGAGGGAAGAAGTAGGCAGCAGTCAATGTCGGGAGGGGGAAGGAAGGAGCGTCCATAATTTGGGCAAGAGGGAAAGGAGAATAAAAAGGAAGGTGGGATTTTTAATTTTTTCAAAATTTCATTTCCCCCTACTGTTAAAGGATGGAACGCGCGTTCCATTAAAAATTATAAAGCGACATCCTTAGACGACGCGCATTTTATTATAGGTGCCCTCCGTGGTTTTTTTAGACACTGATTTAAGGGCGCGCAATAATGAGTGTCTTCTATCCTTAAATTTTTTGAAGAGATGACATTTTTCTAATGTCACTCTCCTTTGCGTAACATAGATCAATGAGCGTCGTATTTTACGCATCATAAAAGGCCTTTTTTCTAGTAGTGGGCCCGACGAGGACACGCTTGATTGATGATGACATATATGAGATGATCACCACTCAGGTGACCATGGCTGTAAGGGAAGAAATCTTAGAGGTTTTTAGGTCTATAAGACCACGATGATTGAGATTTTTGACCGGTGATATGTTGTTGTAGTTGAGGTTGTTTTGTTGTATCCATCGCAGTTGTTACTGCTGCAGTGGTTTAGGGGAGAGGTTCATTTCAGTACTAGGACTTCAGCAACACCAAGCTCTTGGAGTTTGATAGGGTTGATGACCCGATTGTTGCTATGAGATGGTTATCTGATATGAAGGGCTATTTCTTCACTTGCTTGTGTCTAGGGGACCAGAAGGTTAGGTACACCATGAACCTTATTTATTTCGGGGCAACAAAGTTGTCAAAGCTGGTAACTGTTGCTTATTCTCCTGCAAGAAAAGTTGCAGTGACTTGGAAACGATTTTCAAAGATGTTCCATATTGAGCATGTGCCATTGGTGGAGAGGCAAAGGTTAACCCAGGAGTATTATGTGTTGAAGTAGACAACAGAATCGGTGATGAAGATCACCAAGATGTTCACAGAGAGATCCTTTTTCTACCCCGAGAATGATGCTTTGGAGCAGGCTTAGATGTCTCATTACTAGATCATGATTAAGATGAAGATTAGGGAGTTTTTTTCTTCCTAGTATTACAATTCTGTCTCTGAGTTGCAGTCCCTCGCTTGGAGGAGAGAAATTAACATTGAGATCCAGACGATGGAGAGGAGACAGACTCTATGGAAGATGATATGGCCTTATTTAAGTATATATGATAGGACATTATCTTAATATATTTGATTTACATGTTATATTTTTAGATATATGATACTTATAATATGCTTGAAAATGTTCAATTACGGTTAAAATGGGATATGGATTGCAAAGTTGAAAACGAAACAAAAATGATGTTGATGACTGCTTGACACCTAGTCATTGTTTTTACCATATCCCATGATTTGTAACTCTGATTGACGAGTTTCAAAAAGTTTTGGAAACGATACAAAATTTAGAAGAATTTTTTTTGCCAAATACGAATTCCCATTTCTCACGACGTAAAATCTTTTACCTCACGACGTAAGAATAAAAAAATCTTAGAAAATTCCCTATGTTGGTCTACAAGTTCTTGTACAATAACGAAACCCATTGTCGTACCGTGGCAAGATATTTCCATGCTATGGAGGGAAAAAATCTATAAACACACGGGATTTCCTACCCTAATTGGTGTGTAGGCTTAAGCGACTTATACGTACGACTTTTACTTCGTTTTGAAGTCCAGAAACCCTCCAAAAGATGATTTTGAAGCTAGAGATTCAATTGGATCAAGGATTTGAAGATTAAAGTTATATGGTATCGAGACTTCACTTCAGTTTTGCTTGATGATTTCATATTTCATTCTTTTGGTTATATTTTCCTACTTTAGTTTACTGAATATGGTGTGAAAACCTTGAAGGGTTTTGAGCATTCTAACACTCCTATGGTGTACATGCAACCGTAGAAACCTTGGATCTATGTTTTATCTATGATACATAAAATTGATTTTCCAAGGTTCATAACCTATCTAGCATACATGGGGAACTTTTAAACATAAGAATTAGTAAGAAATACATACCTTGTAGTAGTTAGGATTCCTTGTAAACCTTGTGAGCCACCACCTCAAGTGTGATGCTTCAACTCTCTCACACAACACCAAATGCACTTGGAATAACTTATAGAGAAATGAAGAACACTTAGAAATCGTGTAGCCTTCCTTTGTATGCCTAGTGGCCGATTTTTGTAAGCAACATGAAGCTTATATAGTGTGTTACAATTAGGGTTACACCATGAAAACCTTAATTGTCATGACTTTCAGTTCCATGACCCATGGGTTCTATAAACACCATGGAGTATCCATGGAGCATCCTATGGGTGATAGCCCAACTTGATAATCCATGAAGTATTAGCCTACTATATAAGTATGGATGATTAACACAATCAACACGTATATTTAATTAGTCTCCTTTTGATCACTTAATTAATTCCAAATTAATTCTTGTTCAATAATAATTAAATAATATTATTAATATATTAGAACTTATAATATATTAATAAACCTTAAGTGTTATTTCCCTCATTTTAGTTTATCCAAATGCATGATGCCATGAAACCTAAATGGACTATGCGAAACCGACTCAAGTACATACCAGAAATAGTTATGCACTTAGACACCTTATCCAACAGTCTCCCACTTGGATGAGTCTAATAACTATAACTAAAAGTATGAATTTAGGAACCGATTAGCAATCGGAGCTCTTTCAAGGTCTCTCAAAACTAAAATAATGATGATACGCCATTTAAGATAAGTGATCATATAACCCTCTGTTTTAGATATCAGCTGGACAAATTCATGGAGCTATGTCTTACTTTTTGTCTTGCAGTTGTTTCCTGATTTTCGATTTGCTTGACAAAGAACTTAATTGAACACACCAATTTAGTTCTGACCGGGCCCGATACATAGGTCAAAACACAATCATCGAGGGGCTCATATATCTCTTCTAATCCAAGAAGGAACAAATAAACTTCGACTCATATGCTTGTCCTGCTACTTGTTGAATTATACACAAAGGCACGTTTCATAACATCGAGTTACCAATGCGTTTTCGTATAATCAATGCATAACCAACTCGTAGGAGACAAGTCATATCTCTAGGTTTGAAGACTTATATGATATTACCATCTCAAGATCACTCAAGATAAATTCCATGAAGTGATACAAGTGACTGTAGGTTGAATCCAATAACCAGAACTTATGAGCACTCATGATTGTTGTAGTACCTCTTTGCTATGTATGTACAAGCCAACTCATGACAGTCTTGATTCATATCTACTTCCAAAATATGACTGACTGTGGAGAATTTGAATAATATGATGTACCATAACATAATTATTCTGGAAGTCAAAACATGCAAAATGAAATTATAGTAAACGATTGACAAAAGTTAGCAACATTTTGCTCAGACATAAACAACAAATTTTATTCATCATCAAATGTCAAATACATTTTACAAATTTCAAATCTATCTAACTACTAAAACTAATATCATCCTTCAGCCTATGCGCCTCGCATGCTGGAGATGCTTAACCCTACCCAGTCCCTTCGTGAGTGAATCTGCTTGGTTCATATCCAATGGCACCCTCCTTGCCACGAGGAGACCTTCTTCTATACGATGTCTTATGAAATGATATTTTCTATCGATGTGTCTGGATCTCCCATGATCCCTTC